CTCTCTCCCTCTCTCTCCTATCCTCTCCCCCCCCTCCCTGTGGCCCCTGTGGCTGAACCCTCTCAGAGCAGACCTCAGGACACAACTCAGAGCGACAGAGCGGCCTGAGAGAGAGCCGCAGCCGGACGCAGGTCCTCGGCAAGGAGATTCAGATTCTGAAGGAGGAGAAGGGGCGCCAGGTAACCCCACACTGAAGAGTTCAATCATTACGACTCAGAATAAGAACACTGTTTTAAGACTTTTAAGAAACCACATCAAAAACATTCTACACGTGTCATAATGCATCTGGCCATGCACATTGTCAAAAATGTCTTACGGTCTGTTGGTTGATCCACTTCTTTGTTCCAGATAGAATGATCAGAATTTAGATGGATTAAATGAGTTTAGACCATGGTTTAGACATACATTTTCCTCACGTGATGAATTCTCCTGATTTTGACAACCCTCTGCCAGTTTATCTTAAAACACCATGCTCTTAATGTTTGTGTTTTCACAAAACATTGGCATTTTAATTTAGTACAGATGTTCATGCTCCCAAGAAGATGTATACTAATGGCTTTGATGATCCGCTCTGCATCTAAAAGATTGCTTGAAAATGTTTTTTCTAGGAACTTTCATGGTCCCCATATGATGATATCCCCCTGACCTTCCCTCTGCCTAATGCTTGCAAAATGAATGACATTGTCATTAGCTGCTTTGGCAGTATTTGCTGTTTTGTGGTCCTTATGTAATCACAGATTGTGTCATCTGAGTATGTGGACGTAGACATTTAGCATTGACTGTAGCTCAAAGCAGCGCTGTAGTTCAGTAAAGAGTCTTGTTAGATATTGAAAGATCTCCTTAGTAGTATTCAATAGAAATATTTTTCACTGTAGAAAGAGTTTTATTGAACAAATGTGCACAGTATCACTCTGTGATTTGTAAAAGTGAAACCTGAAAAACTTTTTTTGGTACACAAAAGATGTTGGGTGAAAAATCACTTTAAATTCTAAGTATTATAATGAAGTATTGCTGATTTATAGTAGTGATTTCTGTGGTTAATTCTCCTCTCTTTTAGTTCCTAAGCCTCATGGAAACCATAGACAGACAGAGGGACGAGATGGGACGCTCCAGTGGGTGAGTGCCGGTCATCGGCTGTCATTTTAGTTCTGAAACAACACCCACATGAGTGCCTTTACATTGACATTGGAAAGGAGATTAAACCACATATGTCACATGATACATCATCCTTATGCGATCACATTCTGTATCCATGACCTGTTCCCCTTCTTTTCTGTTTGATAAGGTCTGCCTCCATTCAGGTAGGCCAACTCCAGGAAGCTCTGAATGAGAGGAAGTCAGCTGTCAACTCCCTCACTGCCAAGTAAGCATCTCATTTCCCTTTATTCAAATCAGAAGCTGTAGCAATTTACACTTTAGGCATTGCTGCCCATTTGCTTTAAGAATGTAGTTTTCTCTTGTCGATAATAAACCCTGTTTCCACTAAAACGCCTGTGATTTACTGCAACCTCTCTGATACCAACACATCTTGTTCTGCAGCCTAAAAAATAGGGCCTGTATTATTAAGAGTACTTTTTAGCTCGTGTTCATCCACAAATGCACATGCAGTAACTCTGACACATGGTGTGATGGTGTGCAGACTACAGATGACGGAGGCTGCCCTCGCCCTCTCGGAGCAGAAGAACCACAACCTGGGAGAGCTGCTGACACGAGTGAAGGCTGAGAAAGAAGAGCAGAGGGAGCGACAGAGCAGAGAGAGGAGGAAGGAGCAGGAGGTGCGGACAGATGGCACGACGATGATAATGATGATGATGATGACCCCTTATATGAGATTCTGACAGATGTTCCCATATTTTTCATGTGTGCTTTAGCCTGTTACTTTTTCATGAGAGCTTTCACATGTGCTTCTAAATTTAGTGAGGTAAATACATTTTTCCACTGGCTGTTCCCTACAGGGTAAATCAAGGTCACATGACCCAGGTCGTCGCACGCATCTCTGCTTGTCTAGCTGACATCTCTCAGTGGATGTCTGCTCATCACCTCAAGCTCAACCTTGACAAGACTGAGCTGCTCTTCCTTCCGGGAAAAGATTGTCCCACTCTTGACCTAACAATCAACATCGGCACCTCTGTTGTTTCCCCGACTCAGACTGCAAGGAATCTGGGTGTGACCCTAGATAACAACCTGTCCTTCACTGCAAACATCGCTGCTACAACCCGTTGCTGCAGATACACGCTTTACAACATCAGGAAGATACGTCCCCAGCTGACACAGAAAGCGACTCAGGTTCTGGTCCAGGCTCTCGTCATCTCACGCCTAGACTACTGCAACTCCCTCCTGGCTGGTCTACCTGCATGTGCCATCCGACCTCTGCAGCTCACCCAGAATGCAGCGGCTCGTCTGGTCTTCAACCTTCCTAAATTCTCCCACACCACTCCGCTCCTCCGCTGCCTTCACTGGCTTCCGGTAACTGCTAGAATCCACTTCAAGACACTGGTACTTGCTTACCATGCTGCGAATGGATCTGGCCCTTCCTACATCCAGGACATGGTTAAACCGTACACCCCAGCGCGTGCACTACGCTCTGCATCAGCCAAACGACTCGCTGCACCCTCGCTGCGAGGGGGACCCAAGTTCCCATCAGCAAAAACACGTGGGTTTGCTATCCTGGCTCCAAAATGGTGGAATGAGCTCCCCATTGAAATCAGGACAGCAGATAGCTTACACATCTTCCGGGGGAGACTGAAAACTCATCTCTTTCGACTCCACTTCGAGCGATAGAATTACTAACAAATAACTGCTAACAAAGCACTTATATACTAATAAAGGACTGGCTTATCTAAAGCAGCACTTGAAATGTTTGGCTCTATGAAACCTGATGTACTTATATGATTCTGTTTTCTTCAAGGTTGTGTCTTCCTGGTCGAATGTACTTATTGTAAGTCGCTTTGGATAAAAGCGTCAGCTAAATGCAATGTAATGTAATGTAATATAGAGGGGAATACTTTAACCTACAGAGACAAAACGTAACAGGCTTGTCGATCGTATGTTGAGGTATCTCAAATTGGCCAATTCATCTATGACAGAGTTCCCTTTACAGGCCAACAAAGAAGTTAGCATTGCAACGGCTAACGTAGTGCTGTTAAATGCTACATGACAGTTTGCATGATCTCTTACAGGACGTCCTAAAATGGATCCCTGCCACACACCCTTGGTAACTGATAAGATTTTTGTGTCTCCTACACAACCCCACCTACCAACATGCTACCTACTTCGGCTAAGTAGGTAGCATGTTCAGGCTTTGCTCCCATAAATAAAGGAGATATTAGTTTGTGTAAACATCTTAGATTAACAAAAGCTTTAGGTTGTTTGCTTAACAGGATGTCGACATGTTATTTGATAAAAGGGCAGTGACAACACATTACATAACATTACATTTTATTCAGCTGGCACATTTATCACACTTTCTCAAAGCAATGTACACACAATGATTATATGGAGTTAAATACTTTGCCTGGAGTGAACTTCTGACCTTCTGATTTTAAGGCACTTACTTATATTGGAACACAAAGTGAGATTATAAATAAATAGTGACAGAACAAAAAAATTGGATAATCCCAAAATCAGAGAAAAAGAGGCTTTTGAAATGCAGCATTTTTAAATTACATTTCTTCTTGGATTTGATTTATTTTGAATGAAAGTGAACCCCTAAAACACTGACAATAGGAATGAAAGCATTTCCTTATTTTTCCACACATTTATTTATTGTATAGCTTCTTTGTGTCAATTATCCAATTAATATATTGACTATGTGTGGCAGAAGTCTATATCCATCTCTTTGTCAACGATATGCAGCCTAATATGGCAGGAGCATGTAGAAAAAGGAGAAAACACTGAAAAAGATCATGTCAGAGTTCAGTTTAGCAAAAATGACAATGACTGGTGTCCGTTTCCAACCACAATTTGCTCAGTAATACAGCATGGAAAAATGAATGTGTATTAAGAGTCTGCTGTAACAAATGTACCTCATGTGTTTCCATCCCGTAGGACAATGCACTCAGAGAGGGCAAACTGCTCAGAGAGACCCAAAACCTGTCCGACACCAAAGTCCAACTGATGAATAAAGTAAGAGTATTGTGTCTTTATCACAGTGTGTTGTCTGAGGAGTGTGAGACTGATTGTGGTGTGTGTTAGGTGGAGGAGCTGGAGCGCAGGTGTAAGTCTCAGCAGCAGCAGGTCTTTGAGCTGAAGCAGGAGCTGACCAACAGCAGCGCCGAGCTCAAGCTGCAGCTAGCACAGGCAGAAGGTATCACACACCCACAGAACACACACACTTTCTTATTTACAGATACACAGAGAGAAAGTCTTTGTTTACATAAAGCCAAGCAGAACTTTTGTATCTGATAGACCGTCTGGAGATGGAGAAGCGGAGGTCCAAGCAGGCTCTGCAGGACAGTGACAGTCTCCGCCAGAAAGAGGTGCACTCAGGAACTCATCATCATAAACCAATGTATTATTCACATTTCAAATAATTTGGTCCTGAAAAGTAGAATAATTAAATGAACTAACTTCTGTTAAGTCCATGCTGTCACAATTTTGCATGACAGGGGAGAATACTGTTTCAACTTGGATTATGAACCGGTTTTCTAGTCCTGATCCCTATTGAACCACAATGCTATAATTTGGGTCTACATTCTGAATGAGTTTGTTTTTCTTTGGGCCGTCTGCAGTTTGCACAGTGGTTATATTGAGGAGGTTTAAAGGAGGAGTGCGTAGTGTGTCCAGCTGATATATGAATAGGGCTGCACCATTTGGAAAAAAATAACTAATGGCAATTATTTTGACTGATATAGCTATTGTGATATGATTCACGATATCAAAGTGACTGATTTTTCATCATTAATTTTGAAGGATATATTTAAGATTTTTAAGATGATCTGTACCAAAGATATCTTTGGAGTCTGTAGAATACGAGTTGTATGCCAGGACATCTATGCAAAACCACCTGTTTTTATTAAGATGAATATTTCCCATATTTCGTGTGACAAATACTGCGCCTCCTGCAGTTTGAATATTGCACTAGCCCATATTGCAATTTCAAATACATTTCGATTATAGCACAGCCCTTTTGCCCCAAGTTGCATGGTCCTTCTAGCCTGTTAGGCATTATTGTGCCCTTTGCATGGGGGGACGGATTTGTAACCTCTTACATGTTTATTGTTTATTTCACTTTTCTATATGATTAATTAAAACTCCATATCCTAATAAATAAAACGACATATAATTAAATGTACAGGTGGAGCAATTGAATCGTCATCTGGAAGAGTGTGAGAGGACTCTGCAGGAACGCATCTTCAAACTGGAGGGACAGCGGATACAACTGGAGGAGGTCAGAGTTCAGAGCGTCCATGTTTACAACCAGAAACGTAATGTAACTGCTAACAGGTAGTAGTTATGTATTAGCCCAAAGCCTCTTCATTTAGTGGTTAAAAGGTAGCAGCGGAGGCTATATACTTATATATATACCATAAAAACATTTCAATCAGGAGAGACGTGATATATGAAATACATGTTTATTACCGGACACATAATATGAAGGAATAATGATTGACAGTTTACAAGTAAATGAAATGATGTTTGGCGATTAGGCCCCGGTTAGCAGGATGATCATTCAGGAGGGAAAAACCGCTCCGATGAACTCCGATGGTCTAGACACTGGTAGTGGTGATAAGTGGTTCGGTCCGTTCTGAAGGGAGAAGGTTTTAGCTTGGCCCTGTATTAGGAGACAGGAGGCGAAGGGGTGGAGGAGGGTTGTGCGTTGACACTTGAAATGACAACTGACGGAGAGGGAAGAGCAGATTTAAAGGGGTTAGCGGGTGCGATGATTGGCTAGCCGGGGAGTAACGCCCCTGATTACTTAATGGGAGAGGAGAGAGTATTGAAGTGACGTGTAACACCAGAGGATATTGGTCTTCCTGGTTGAACTTGCGCTAAGCTACATTTCAATCAGGAGAGATGTGATGTATGAAATACATGTTTATTACCAGACACATAATATGAAGGAATAATGATTGACAGTTTACAACAAGTAGGCCTAAATTAAATTATGTTTGGCGATTAGGCCCCGGTTAGCAGGATGATCATTCAGGAGGGAAAAACCGCTCCAATGAACCCCCAAAAGAAGTGAAGTATGAAGTACTGAGATGTGAAGCATTTATTACCTTACTGCGGAGATCTATGGATGAAAAGAGAGATTAACGTGGGGATATGATGAGAATGCCGGAGTCACTGCCGGGCTTAAGTACGAATACATCGTAAGATGCAGACCCTACGGTCGACTGCCGATCAGTGCCGGGCGTTGCGGGGTTAAACATAACGCGACCCACTGGCCGCAACCTGCACTCGCAGGGTTAAACATAACGCGACCCACTGGCACTGCGCGATTTAAACGCACCGTTAGGCGTGGACGCGCTCACGCACGTTTGGCCTCCGGTCCTTCTGTACGCGTTGCCACCCCTGGCTCTGATACCCCCAACTCTGGCCAGAGTGAGAGAACAACGCCACACACTGATCCTAATAGCTCCACACTGGCCTGCAATGGACTGGCTGGCGGAGATATATCAGCTGCTGTGCGGGCAGCCGTGGCAGCTCCCGCTATGCAGGGACATACTGTCTCAGGCGGGGGGGACGATTTTTTTCACCCACACCCAGAGCGCTTGGCACTATGGGCCTGGCCCGTGAGTGGTATAACCTGAATACAGTGGGACTCCCTCAGAAGGGGATAAACCCTATTCAGAGTGCAAGAGCTTCCTCCACCAGGTCCCTCAGGTAAGTGGAGGGTGTTTGAGGAGTGGTGCCTTCAAAAAGGACACATCTCTTTTCAATGTCCTGTCGAGGTGATTTTATCATTTCTACAGGACTTAATTGATAAACACAGAGCTTTCTCTACGATCAAAGTGTACCTGGCTGCTATTGCTGCATGCCATGTGGGCTTTGAGGGAAATACAGCTAGCCAACATCCCTTGGTCTGCCGTTTTATGAAAGGGGCTCGCAGGCTCCTCCCTGTTTCCAGGTCACTGGTGCCCTTATGGGACTTGGCAGTGGTTTTAGATGGGCTCACTCGACCTCCATTTGAACCCCTGGAAGAAGCTGACATGAAACACCTGTCACTGAAGACAGTGTTGTTACTGGCTCTGGCATCTGCCAAGCGAGTCAGTGACATTCATGCGCTCTCTGTACATCCTTCATTTGCCCCGGGGCAAACGAGAGTGTTGCTGAAGCCCAACCCTGCCTTTGTACCTAAGGTGGTTGGCTCATGTACCCCCATTGACATTGAGGCATTTCCTCCGCCACTGTGTTCCTCTGAGGAACAGCGGCCGAATTTGCTGTGCCCAGTCCGTGCTTTACGCACCTATATGGACAGGTCAAAAGAGTTTCGATGCAATGACCAACTCTTTGTATCCTGGGCTAACCCTCATAAGGGCAAGCCCGTTACCAGGCAACGGCTCTCCCACTGGATTGTGGAAGCGATTGCTCTGGCTTATACGAGTCAGGGTTTGCAGGCACCAATGGGCCTGCATGCTCATTCTACTCGTGGACTGGCTACATCGTGGGCTTTGTTCAAGGGTGTTTCCATCCAAGACATTTGTGCAGCAGCGAGCTGGTCCTCACCGCTCACTTTTGTCCGCTTTTACAGGCTAGATGTCTCTGCTCCAAGTGTGGCCCGCGCAGTGGTGGGTCCTGTGTTGAGACAGGGTTCTACCTGTTAAGTTCTGGTTGTTTTGGTGATTTTCGAGATAAGCATGTCTAGCAATACAGGAGTTTCAATATCCCATAGTGACACATCGAATGGAGTGTTATGAATGAGAACTATAGGTTACTTACGTAACCCCAGTTCTCAGAGTAACATGAAGTGAGATGTCTCACCAGACGGCCCTTCTTGCTAAGGCGAAGCGAGAAGAGATGCTTATTTTGAATGACGCTGCGTCGTAGCGCAAGCTACTTAAAGGGTAGGTGGATTCCCTGACGTAGACGTCAAGATCACCAGCCAATCAGGATTGGCGTAATGAGATTGATGCTTCCGTTTGCATACGCGTTGAGGCGCATCCCATAGTGAGACATCTCACTTCATGTTACTCTGAGAACTGGGGTTACGTAAGTAACCTATAGTTTCTCCTTACTTGACTCCCGCTTAAGGCTGAAAGTGTTCCGTTGAACGGATGATCTGCTTTGAAGAGCCAGCCTTGGCCTGCACACTATTAAGATTACATTTTCTCCGTGCGTAGAAAGGGGGAACATTGACCTTTGTCATCGAGATTGCCCTGAGCCTTTAACAAATCGTATTAAATAATGTGATGACAGAATTGTAAACAGAATAGCTGAAACTTTAACAAAATAAAGAGTAACTCAGTTTCCTCTAATCATTAACCCATGCTTGTATCATGTAGTTAACTCGGTGTGTTGCTGCTAGCATACATAACACCTGACGTGGAAACGTTACTCGTGGACGGGGCTACAGAGCTACTAGAAAGACAGTTGAACCCGGTGCATTCCTCCGTCTGAATGCGGAGCACTTTTGCTAAATGTTTAGACAAATTGCTCGTGTTACCGCCCTTACATGCTAAACTCTTATTGCACTTTTGGCAACGAGTATTGTCCACATCGAGACGGGTAAAGTTTAACCACACCTCGGAGCGCGTTCTCTCCGCCACCTCCGCAGTGTGCTCCGCTGCATGTAGCAGCTGCGTGTGTAAACTGCCCCGGGGGAGAGAGATCTCGTCTGATCGAAATACATCATAGACGCATTTGTTTGTCTTTTGCATATTAGAAACGAGTTGGCGACACTAAGACTACGATATAATGTTTTTGTAGTAATAATACATGACATATATTTTTTAAATGTCTCCAGTACCGATAAAAAGACCAATAACGTTGGAGCTTAACACACGTGATGACGTCACCAATGAATCGACGACTGAATTAGTTGGCAACTAATTTGGTAATCGATTTTGATCGATTAGTTGTTGCACCCCTACTGCCGAGGAGATGTTGTTGTCGCAGATCCAGCCGTTGGTGCACCGAGAAACGGAATATTTCTTAGTGGAGAAGAAAAAGAGAAAAAATACGATCATTCAGTCAATAATCATTCAATTAATATTGGGAGTGAATTCCTAATTGATTTAGTATCTGGTCGTGTCATAAACAGGATAATGTGCAGCGACTTGGCCATTGAGGAAAAGAAGCCCTACGAAACACCATTCATTTCAGGTAACACTGTGTTGAAGCTTGAAACTGCGTTAGTTACTGAGCATTGTAATGGGTAGTAATTACCCAAACTGCATTAGTAATGCATTACGTTATTCGTACGCAAAGTAATACGTTACTGAAACTCCATACTGTAACACGTTACACCTGGAACTCACCTTAACCCTGAACTGAAGGTAGCAATGCATAGTGTTGAACTTCCTGTCGGCTCCCAGACCGTAGTCGAGGAAACGAGGGGGATGACTCTCTTGCCCCTTTCACACCAGCGCTTTTTCAGCTCCGGAGCCTGAAAAGCGCCGGTTTTTCCTGTTCACACCGCAGCGGCGCCGGCTCTTAGCTCTGGAATCCGGTTCACTTCCAGCTCCAAAAAATTGTCGGTCTAGAGGCAAGAGCTTCGGAGCTAAGAGGTGGCGTCTCTCTTACGTCGAGGCGTGCAGGAAACTAAACCCACCTCCCCTGAACATGGGTCGACTGTCATGCCTGCCTACAAGCAGTAGTGCTTATAAACACACTTTATAAAGTCAGGCAACACTAACCAGGCTTCGTGTGATTCTGTTTATTTGTACCTTACTTTGACCATCCGTTCACTGTTATTGATCATTGTGGAGAGAGGCAGACGTTTTGTATTATAGCAGCTATCGGATGGAATCAATACATGGGCTGCACAGGTTTTCGTGTCCGACTATCACAAGTAGAATCATAATAAAAATACGCCGGTAAAATGTGCCTGTAGAAAACGGTTTATGCCACAATAGGATAGCAATAGCAAGTAGTCAGTTTAGCTTCGGTTGCTATGCTAACATCACCCATTTTATACCAGAGAAACTTTCATAACAGCGTTGTGATACCAAACAGCGTCAATTCAGACTGACACACATTCACTTAGGCTAAGGAGAACTGGGGATATGAATCAGCTGCTTGTGTGAGTCGGACAGTGAATACTTTAGAGCGGCCGCTGCAGTGTGAGCTAACCGGGAGCTAACGGAGGAGAATAAACTCCCGTGGAAGAGCAGCCAACACTGCAGCGGTCGGTAAATGCTGCAGAAACACATTAATAAACAATGAACCACGGCAACACGATCATCGACCCGACGCAGTTCCCCGTTGTTGTGAGCGCCGTAATGCCGTTGGGGAGCAAATCAGCGATGTAAACGGTGACGTCATGACGCAGCAGCGGCAGCACCAGTCGGGTGCTGGGCGGTGTGAACAGAGCGGGAGCAGAAAAGGGAAACCGGAGCTGAACCAGAAAAGCTCTAGCTCGGAGCTAGAAAGGGAAAAGCGCTGGTGTGAAAGCCGCATCTGTCATCTCCCAGGGCAGAAGCAACACGCTTCGGGTTCAATAACCCATTTATCGGAAAGACTGAAGAGAGGCGAGCTCTTCTTGGGAGGTCGTTGCATTTATTTAGCTCTTCTGTTTCGCAAGATAGATTCGCAAGATCACAGACCTTCCTTTTTCTGCTGCCTCGTTTATTTCTAGAAAACATGTATCCCGCTCGCTCGCTCTACCATACCATGCACACATGCACGCGCCACACCCCTCTCTTAAAGGGGTAGCGATCTCACTCTGCATGACCCAAATGTCATAACAATATAACGAAACATCTCGTGAATTTGTTGCAACTGCCTCTTGCCAGCGCTACCCTGACTTCTGTTTTAGAGGTGAGGCGCAGGAGGAAGTAGCTTCAATGGGATGTAGCTTAAGCCCTGCCTGCCTGCAGGAGGGGTTGTGGTTGAAGCCAGAATGGGTAAAGCTTCGCATGCGATGAGGACCCGTTCCGCGTGAAGCGCCGCATTTGAGCGGCCCTGATGCCAGTGATGCCCTCTCGAGAGACTGAAGGCGTGTGTCAATTGTTTGCGTGAAGTAGCCCATTTCCATTAAGCCGGAGGAACTTCCGTGGAGCCCGATTTCCTTGTATTTTCCTCCCGCATCCGGGTTTGCGGGGCGGCCGGCTGGAACCGCTAGCCGACTGGGGAACGCCGCCTGTAGCTTAATCCGCAAGACTGCGGAGCTGATGAATAATGCCTGGAGCTGGGACGAAGCCCTGCTGCTGCTTGCGCGTTGACACCTGAAATGACAACTGACGGAGAGGGAAGAGCAGATTTAAAGGGGTTAGCGGGTGCGATGATTGGCTAGCCGGGGAGTAACGCCCCGTGTAACACCAGAGGATATTGGTCTTCCTGGTTGAACTTGCGCTAAGCTACATAACTTCACATCAGGACTAAAGGGCAGTGGCGGCCGGCCCATAGGGGCGCTAGGGGCGCCGCCCCACCTCTTCCCACATTAAAAATTAAAAATAAAAAAATATATATATTTTATATTTTTATTTGTAATGAACAAGGTAAATATCATACAATTGGTATCAGTAAAATGTATAATCTACAATAAAATCTCGTTTAAAATTGTGTTACGATGTCTAAAGTTACTGATAAGTCACATGTTTCCTGCCTGGCCTTGCCAATGGCATTAGTTTATCATTACCGGGCGGAGCCCCCGAGCCAAACAGCAGCAACCAGCACGTTGCAAAAGTCTCAATAGTAAACTGTGCCGCCGAAACATAATTTCAGCCAATCAGCGCCGTCAAATATTTTGGTCACGAGGGCGCTCACGTTGGCGCCCACGTTGCTTACGTGACGTGAGTTGTTTTTTAGACTCGTGAGTGACCAAGGTGACGCAGTATTTAGAATGGTGTGCAGGTGGAGTCGCCGGACCTCGGTCCGCACCCAATTCCGTGCAAGAGCTACTCTCCAATCCTTTCCAAAGGAGAAGTTTGGGAGATAAATTGATACTTAAAGACCTTGGACCGGACCAACCCGATTTGTATATATCACAGCAAGCTCGTGAAAAAGACAAAACGTATCAACGAGGCTAGCTGGATGCAAACGATGCAAACAGGTAAATGCTATCTTTTGTTTCCCATGCTTGCTCTTCAAACAGCCGGGGACAGATACGATCTGTTCAGAAACTAGACAAAAGTTAAACAAGTACAACCCACAGACTGTCTGTGTCATGGAGAATACAGTCGCTGGTTTATTTATGTCTGTATAGGCCGTTGTTGTGAGTGTGGACGGTCGGAGCATATATAACATTAGCTTAGCCAAGCTCCATTCAGAAAACAAGCATTCTAAAAGGTTTTTCGCCTGCCGTCTGTCTGCAGACTTGTCAAAGCATTAATTCATGGTTTTTACTAACCGGTATCAGTATGTTGTTACGTCGGCATCATTTAGAAACGTGTATTACAATTTAATCACGGTAAAATATGTTAATTTTGTTGTAGTTGTAGCTCCCGAGCCAGCGCGTCTTGTTTGAATGATGCGAGTAAACACAGCTGGCAGCCGCGGTGAAACTCGAGCGACTAGAGCGATGCGATAGGAGCGTTTAGAGCGAAGCGAATATTCGCATCGCGTCCAGTCTGAACGCAGCATTAAAGCGAGCTCCGCGCTGCACTGGAAACGTGCCATTACATCACCAGAAGTCCTAATTTAAAGGAATGCTCCACTCATTAGATAATTAATCAAAACTTCAGTATTTAGTGAAACATTATGTTTAAACCATACCCTGAAGAAATCAGCGATATTCCCCGGTAAATAATGATTTTATAGCTCTTTTTTTATCAAAACCTGTATATTCCGTCAGGCCGCTGCCATTTTGCCCATTTTCAGTAGTCACGTGATGGTCGTGACGTCATCCATGCGTTCACTTTGTAAACACCATATACAGTCTATGGTAAACACACGAAAACATGGCGAAGTTTTGAGCAATATGAAGAGATTGGAAGGGGGAATTCAGCCATACAGGTTCGAGCCTACTTAGTACTACTTAGTAGATACAATGATTTTGATTACTAGATATGTATGCATGTAGTACCACCCTTGCTAGCGATTCCCTCTCTAGTTTAGCATACTCAGCCTCGTTGTCCCTGGCCCTAGAACCACGATTTTATGGGGCCGGAAAAACTGAGGGGGAAATACCCACTAGCCGGTACTACGCTATATGGAAAGGCCACCAAAAACTGGCCTGGCCTGGACGATAAAGGACGTTTAAACGGGGCTACCCGCTGCAATGGAAATGCGCCATAACATACCTTATTCTTACTCCATAACATACCTTATTCTTACTCCGAGCACTACTTCTGGTCCTCCGTCGCTTCACACTTGCAGAGAGCGATTTCTCAACTGGCCGAACTGGTGTCCTGGTCGGTGATGACACCAGAAAGACCGATAATACTGCATCTCCATTAAGTAATGGTTGCTCAATAAATCCCATGTTATGTTTTATCATACTCTCAGAGTAGTCGTCCGGAAACTTGAAATGTTCGCTGCATACATGGGCCTGTGGATCTTTCGGTTCGGGCCGGCCACATTTCGCTAGCCACTGCCTCCGAACGTACTTCCTACGCTTACCTTTTGGCAACAGATGGAACCGAGCATTCCGTGGATTGTTCCTATCAGAATTGTGGCAATGTTTCGCTATACAATGAGGCATATTTGAAGAGAGTAACTACAGTAAATAACATGAACATCAACGTGTCCTCGAAACCAAACGCATGGTTTACGTCACGTCCGGTAAAATGGCGCCGCCCACAGTGTTGATGTTATTTCGGTAATTAATCAGTTTAAAATCACTGATAATGTCATCGGATTAAAAAAAAAAAAAAAAGACTGGCAGAGACTGGTCTGTTTTATCGGATGATAAAAAAAATTAAATGAGTGTCATGAGCATACCATTCCTTTTTAAGGGGTCATTTCTCCCAAAAAAAATGTTTTTACTCACTATATCAAAAGCCCCACCAAAAATATTTTCCACCAGCCGCCACTGCTAAAGGGGCTATGCAAATGAGACGTGATTGGTTGGTGTTTTTTCCCACATGTTTCTGAAGCAGTGTTTGACATCCTTATCGTGCTGGTGGTGCTATCAGGGCTTAAATCACAAAACAACTTTGTACCACTTTGCATGGATTCACTGAAGACAGCCAAGGTTCAGTGTGAGGGGGCTTTATTAACTGAAGGGGGGGCCTTATTAGTTAGGGAAGATAACTGTATTTTCCAGATACGTTATTCAAATCCACAAAGAGGCCTCTTCTCTTTCCACACTGGGGATTTCCCACTAGACAAGGGGACACCCTAAAGCTGAGAGTTGAGTAATAAAACACTGAATGTGGCGAGGTCCAGTTTGTGGATGCAGTAAAACTACCATCCCCATGTTTTAGGAGCATTTCTACAGAATGAAACTGCAGTGAAATGAAATGCTGTTCTTCATTTTGGTTTGTATCCTTAACGACTCCTTCAGAAGCAACCCGCGCTCTTTATGTGACGTCGTGTTATGATGTAATTGTGTTGCAGGAGCTGAGTAAAGCCAGAGCGGTGTGTGTGACGGAGCGAGCTCAGGCGGAGGAGGAGCTGGGGAGAGTGCGAGCTCAAGTTCGTCTGGAGGAGGTGGGTTTTAAAAAACTGTTATTAAAATGTTACTACATTTTCGGTTACATTATTGATGGCTTTTCTCTGAGGCAACATACAAGGTGAGGTGTAATCAAAGAAGAAAATGAATGTACTGCAGTTAAACAGCTCTGGAGTGATGACATGCTATCTGAGATCATTGGAGTTCAGATAGCATGTTTCCAGCCTCAGCAAAACAGCCCTGAATATGATGAAAGGTTTTTCAGTACAATTAATCCCATCCCTGAGTATGGATACCAAGCAATCTTTTTTTTTACCTCTAGCTTTGAGAAATATTTTTTAAAAAATGTTTACAAACTCTCATTAATTATGGCTAATTCTAATATTGTAGGCATTTCAGAAATTACCTTACAATATGCTTTCCTCCCTCGCATTCATTGTTTTTAAAAATGTTTTAAAAAATCCTTTATTTATTTGACAGGGACATTGATTAACATTCCCATCTGTAAATGCGCCAGAGTTAGCAAACAGGCTCTTTTTCATCTGCAGTCCCTGGACAGATGTTGAAAGTCATCCTAAAAAAATCGCTTCAAATGACAGGTAAATACAATCAGTAAAACAACATTCAACATAGATACTTATATTATTATATAGATAAAAGCATATATAAAAACATAAAAACAAAACAAAAATAGATATTCACAAAGCAGACAGATAGCAACAGGTCAAGGCACATGTACAAACAGCACATTGTGTCAGTGTTGACAGAGCTGATTTGAATAAAGTGCAGGTGTTTTGTTCTCTAATCTTTACTGGGATTGAGTTCCACTGTTGTGCAGCTTTAAAAGAAAAAGAAGATTGTCTGAATGAACTCTTCCTTAATGGAACAACGCAGTCTCCTCTTGTTGCAGCTCTTGTTGACCGAGTTACAGGTGTGCGTATGGTGATCACATGTCTGAGCGGAGGTGAGGTAAGGCTGTGTATTATTTTGTACATGAGGCAAGCATTTGCATATCTCATTACATTTTCCCAGCTCAACAAGTTATATTTTGTGAGTATTGGGCAATGATGAGAATAAACTGACTTCTTATCTACTATTTTAAGTGTTTGTTTGTATAATGATTCCAGGGGTTTAAGAGTGGTTGTACGGCATGTGAGCAGGTTGTTAAGCAGTAGGTGATATGAGATAGAACCATAGAGTGCATGTACATCAGAGCCGCCTCTGTTGACATGCACTCTCTGGTAAACCTCACATTTGACACACTGAATTTGACCCTGTTGCAGACCTTTTTCACCTGAGCCTTAAAATTGAGTCTTGAATCAATGAAGACCCCCAGGTATTTGTACTGTGAGACCACCTGCAGCCTCTCCCCGGACACAAACACATCTGGCTCAACGCAGGAGAACTTGGTTTTGGTGAAGAACATACATACAGTTTTACTGACATTTAGTTGCAGACAGCATTGCTCCAACCAAGCTGTTACATGAACCATCTTGTTCGTCAGTTCATTAGCCACTTGTGTCAGACTGCCTCCGTGAACATAAATTACAGTATCATCAGCATACATTTGGATGTTTGTGTCAGGACATATCGATGGTAAGTCGTTTATATACAATTCAAATAACAATAGACCCAGAGTTGACCCTTGTGGGACACCTGTGGACAGCTGGAGGTTAGATGATTGATTATTCTGTACTCTGACATACTGAGAACGGTTGAACAAATATGATTCTATCTATTGAAGTGTTTGTGTGGAGAAGTTAATGCTGGATAGCTTAGATATGAGTTTTTTGTGATTAACAGTGTCAAAGGCCTTCTTTAAGTCGAGAAACACTGCTCCTACAACACCACCTTTATCCATTTTGGATTTGATTTGTTCTGTGAAAAACAGTTGGCTGACTCTTTGAATGAAAAGCAGATCATCCTTGTCGTGGTTTCCTTCCTTGTTTTTCTATCATGCCACTAGACGCCTTAAACAGACTCGTTTTTTTTCTTTCCTTTAAATTACTTACAGTCAGTGGCGTTTTTATATGTACAAAAGCGGTTGGGCACGAACAACTTAGATGTGTTTAAGTGTTTAAGCTTCTGGTGCTTTTTTAAACACGTAAACAAATATTTGTAGGCTGTCCATGGTTCCGATAGAGAGAGCAATAGCCTATAGGCAACACACAGAAGATCAACAAAAGATATGACATAAAATGAACTTACCAAAGCTGAAGTAGACGGTCAACTTCATTCATTTTCTTTCCGTTTTACTGATTTGAATGGCTATACGCTGCCCTCTCTCGTCTCCTCTTCAACAACTACTATTTTTGTGGCACACGTACTTACAGCCAATCAGCTCTCTGAATTATGAGATTACATTTGGTGGGTATGTCAGCACAGTGCCCCTATGGTGATTATTTGTTTGCCGCACACATTGAATAGAAAAATACTCTGAGCATGCGCAGTGTAGTTTTTACAGCACCCATTCACAGTGAGAGAGAGGGGCTAGATCAGGGCTTGACCCACGTTGCTCAAAACGGCTCAATAGGCACACACTGTAGACACTAATTAGAAGACTAAAACAGCAATGTACCGACGAATCAGATGATTAAACATGATCTTAAAATATATTTTAAGATGTATTCTTTTTGCATTTATTTGCATTTTTTTGGAATTATTATTTGAATTACTTTCTGCTGACACTAGGTGAGGCTGTGCCCCAGCTGCCCCTAATGACCAGTCACCACTGCTTACAGTTGAAGAGTTGCTTGGCCTCCGATGGTTTGAATGATATTATACGATGTGCTGCTCAAAATAACAAACTTTTACACATGCAACAAAGAAAAGAGGCCTTTACAATATTCAAAACAAATCGGCAAAGCTCAAATAAAATAACAAACAACTTAGGTATTCTTGCTTTCTTGATAAGGCTTATATAACTTGATAACTTAAAGGATAATTGGACGTTTAAAAACTGTTCCTCAACGGCGTGTTTCTAGCAGGTTGCCCACTCACTGTCACTTTAGAGAAGGCGCTGTGGGAATTGAAGTCTTTTATGCTCTGGTTGACTACAGACGTCACTATTAGGTGGCCTTTCTTATAAAAACAAAATACTGGCTCTAACAATCCTAGTGAAATAAAGATCCTCCTGAGCTCACCTGTGGTTTCCCCTGAGCAGCAGGAGCACGTGTCCTCTGTGGAGGAGAAGCTCCGCTGTGTGCGCTGCAGCCTGCAGGAGGTGCAGCTCCACTCCTCGCAGCAGAAGCAGACCATCTCTGAGCTGCAGGCCAAGAACAGCCAGCTGAGCGTGGGGGTGGACGGACTGAGGCGCCGCACGGAGGAGCTGCAGCAGGTCAGGACCCCAGCTGTACACCTTTCACTATTCAGCCTGTGTGGACATCATTCAATCCAATATGTAACTCACAATATGGATTAAATAGTAGTGGTGCATAATAAAATATACTAAAGTCCTAACAGGCAAGTGAGAAAATAAACTCGGTGATCATAGGTGTTAAGTTAAATCGTTTTTTCTTCTGTGAAAACATTTGTTGTGGCCGTGTAAATGTTGTTTTCATGTGTAATACATTTGGGGAAACAAGTTTTGCTAGGATATTTAAGTTACTTGGAAATAGGGCACATGGTTTTTACAAGACAACTTTTTTTTCCTTTTCGATTTAAGTTTGATCTGAAAAGGTGTTGCCAAGATAGGGTTTGGGATACTATTTCTGAAATCTTTTTATCTTCGAAACAGCATTACAACAAGAAACACTTAGGGAAATGATCCCATCAACAAGTCTATAGGACTCAGAAGACTATCCTGGCACAACCTGGTTTGACTTGTTCTTAAGTCATAAACACAGGGGAGAGGCCACATCAGATCCAACCCAGTCTCATGGCATTTCGTGTTCACCAACACGATTTGTAATCTATTGATTCGTGTTCACCAACACGATTTTTAATCTATTGATTCGTGTTCACCAACACGATTTCCCCCTTTTTTTCGTGTTGCACAGCACGATTTTAAAAGCAATGTATTTCTACTGGTAATGTGTTTCGTGCCTGCAGCACGTCTTTTTCTCCGGTCGGGTCGTGGAAGACCGGAAGCTGTGTGGTTCATAAAAACATGTTCTTACTCAATATCAAGCCACGATTATTGTTTTTATTTTAAATCGTATAATTTCGGACTTTTGTTGCCATTGTTGCCATTGTCCATCTAAACCTTGAAAAGATGTCAGTCACCTCATAGTGTGTCACGTATGGGACTTTTATTTTCAGCCAAATTCTAGAAAATAACACGTTTCACACTGCGGCTCTATTCAAGAGATCTCTCATGTGTAGCTCATCCCTTTCTCCATGCATGCTGGGATGTAAAGATACTCATAGCTTCTGTACAGTGTCCTTATCCATGTGACAAACCTCCGGGAGTGATACATGATGATACATGTTTGGAGCTGGGTGTTGATCAGCTGGTGTTTTGTTGCAGGATCTGTCGGGGAAGGAGCAGGAGAAGGTGGCTGCAGTGAGCCGGGTGAAGGTGGAGCTGCAGGAGCAGATCGGACACCTACAGGCAGAGAGGACGGCTCAGGGGGGCCTGAGGGAGAAGATCAGCGCTCTGGAGAGAGAGATCAAAGGTGCACACCACTCTTTCAGAGCTTCCACACAAAGTACATTTCTTCAAATGAAATTGTTTATTTGTGTGATTTATTGGTGACTGAAAGAGGACATTGGACATAGGGTTTAAAAGATTAAAAAGACAATTCATTTCAAAGGTAGCTGATATGTAAATACTTTTTGGCATCAAAATGGACTAAAATTATTTGAGTTGAAATATTATAAAGTTGCAGCATAAATGAAGACTGCTTGAAACAAAGCAGATTAACCCAGGTCCAGTCTTTCCCTTTTTCAATTAAAAAGACACTTAACTTCAGAACGTAATGTATTTTAAATGCATCATGTGTGTAAATATGAATATGTTCTTTATTCTCACACCATTCTCCCTCTATGCTTGCTGTCCTGCAGTGCTCAGCAGCAGCCACAGAGAGGTGCTCCTGGACAAAGAGAGTGAGATGTCCTCCATGCTGGAGAAGCTCCGTCTGAAGGAGGCGGAGATCCAGAGGATGAGGGAGGACGAAGCCAACCGAGCCAGCTACCTGCAGTCCGCCATCCTCACATACGTCCAGGGCTCGCCTCTGGGACACTACAGCAGCCCCAAGAAGTGACCCCCAGACCACCTCTGAGCCCTCAGGACCGTCTGCAGAATACAAATAAATCGTTATTGTCCTGACATGAAACATTTGGAAAACTCAGAAGAATCACGAGTGTTCGGGGACATTGGTGCGGCGCCATATGACTGTGAGCTGTAAACATACTGTACCTTACACAATGTGCAGACCCAGTCATGAAAGGGTTACAAAGTCTACTGGCACCACATCCAGGACGTTCGGAGGATATGCATGGTCCCCAGAGAAGGAATATGACATGCATACATTTTCAAGCATTTTTAGATCTCTATTTGGTAAATGAATGAACTTTTAAGCCTTTTGATCCATCTACCCTTTTATTGTGTAAAACAACTTGCCAGCTGGATGAGATTATTACCTGTTTCAAAATACCGTGTTGTTATCCTTCTACAGGTTAAGCGTCAGGTTTGATTCATTACTCTAAACATCAAAAAAGGAAAAAGGGGTAAAGGCACTATATGGTGTCTTATTTCTCCCATGCCAAGTACCTTTAACTTTCTAGAGGTGCAAGAGGGGTTTTGAGCCTTCAGTAAAGTCTGTCTTATAAGAAAATACTGGATCTGAGACTAAAAAGCACTTGAAAATATATTTGAATTGCTTTGACCACAGCCCTGTCTTAATGCTTTACATGTTCTTGTATCATTGCCAACACATGCCGTCTCTCGTGTCTTTAGCTCTCCCATTACTCTGTGTAGTGTACTGTACTGTCCTTCAAATGGACCGTGCGTCAACATTTCCATCTGTTTGCAGCCCATTGTGTTCCTCATTCTTCTTCTCTCCAGTCTAAATGAGTTGAAGACACTCCAGTGTTTACATACAGAATGAGATTTGCTTCAAATATGCCTTAATATGTTGTTATATCTGTCACACCAGAGGCTGCCTCTCTGCAGTTCAGATATAGAGCATTACACTGATTCACAACATGTCTGTTGTTTTTACTAATGATTTCATGAAGGAAGTCTGTCAAATTGAACTCCTGATTCAGTCTTTTTTTACAAATTGCTGTTTTATATCTTCATATTGTTTCAGATATATTTTAAGGTGCTTTTACCATTTTGCATTTTTACATATCATCTAAATGTGGTAGTTTCTGAACTAAATCTCTTGATTTTCTTAATGTGTGCATAATTTAGCAGTTGATCTAGATTAGTCTATAATGCCATTCAACATTTAACAGTACACTGTTGTGTGTCAGTGGGGTGGGGATGTATGAGGTCATTGGGTCTTTGAATTACTGCCAAAGATATTTTACTGTCAAGATGGTTCAGGCCCATTTAAAACCATTGATAGTCACTATGGAGGAACCTTCACCGTTGTGTCTGCCTTATGGGATCATCATACAAGTGTATCGTATTAGTAGTTACATTTAAAACATTAATACATATCCCAGAATATGCTTACTTATTTATATATGATTAAAAAAATTAAGACATTTAAAACACAATCCAGTCCAGAGTAGTACAATAAAAACATTATATTCGTTTTTTGTTATAATTAATATTATTATAAATGGAGGTTTTAAAGGGTTTAATCAGGAAAAGTTTTATTGCCAAGTAGGTTTACACTTACGAAGAATTTGCCTTCGTATATGGTGCACACAGTCGAAGAAGATCAATTGTAAGAAAAACAACCACAAAATAAAACTTATGAAAAGCTATTTTAAACGTAATGATAGAGGCTGAAATAGAAAAGTCGGAAGATGTCCAAACCCTTTCCAAAATGAATGCCATCTGCACAAAAAAACTGCCTCAATAATCTAGAAAAATACAAGCAAACCATAGAAGTAAACATGTCCCGCACTCTCTGCTAAGGCACAAAAGAAAAGCGGAAGTGCAAGGCGTGTATCATCTCTTTCTCTGCTGGGATGCTTATTTTCTGTGCTCTGTCTCTTTAAAACACTCGGTAGTTTCCGGAGCTTGTCGCCGCTACTCGTCATCGACCCCTTTCACTGCGGCTCCATCGCCGAGCGGACTGGCCCGCTGCTCTCATCCGAGACCTCAGTGCAGACCGTCGGATCCGCTAAAGCACCAACACCGGCTCCCTGAACGTGTCCAGCTCCTGTAAACATGCAGGCTATCAAATGCGTGGTGGTGGGCGACGGGTAAGAGCACGCGCACACACACATGAACAGCAGCACGGTCGTTTTTATGTGTGATTCGGTGAAGCGTCCATGGATGGATGGGTGATGGGAGGATGCTATGTAGGAAAAGGGGCTGGGGCTCACCGAGCGGTCGGTCGCCCTGTTTGTTCTGCTCCACACCCCTCCTCCCGGGTCGGCTTTGTGGTCGCATCGGTTCGATCGCATCGTGGCCCTTCCGTTCATTGTGGCGGTCGCGGCGGATGCGGGAACACCTACACGCCTCGTAGGCCACTGGAGGCAGGCTGAAGTGCTGATGCACGCTGAGGAATTTGTGGCCCTGTCACTGAAACAGGCCCCGCTGTCCCCATTCTGCCCACACTGAGCCTTTCTTACTGCAGCCAGAGCCCGTTCAGCTGCATGGGGGCGCACATTTGCAGCATGGGGGCGCACATTTGCAGCAGGGTGTTCTGCACTGCTTCTGATATCAATGCTATGCATAGATTTAGACTGAGGAAAATCAGCCATTAGTGTCAATTGTGAGAAAAAATAGGCCTTGTCTGAGTCCTGCTTATTATGATGTCAGAAAGCTAGACCTAAACAGAATTTACTTTTGAAATACATTAGACTGCCAGTGTTTGAATATCCATACTGTATAAGACAAGATATTTGCAAAATGTGAATTCTTAAATTTCATAAATCCCTTAAAGGAGCCTCTGATGGCACACGTCAAGCTCAGTGATTCTCCATGGGGAGTACTGCTCAGCTTCCTCTGGAGAGAGATTTACTAAAGCATTAGAAAACCTGATGATGTCATCATCTTGGATTTGCAAACTACACATTTACAACAGAAAACCTCCATTAGCCTACCAACAACTAGGAGGGTCCAAATATCCAAAACAGGCCTTATTAGAGAAGACATTTTGTCCATTAATTATCTATAAAAAGGGAACGTAGCCATCCATGAAGTCACCCATTGGTTGGTGGACCATCGTTTTGAGCCTAGAGTTTGGTATTTGGGCGTTCTCAGTTTTGTTTTGCTGCAGTCAGAAGTGACAAGAGGGTGGAGCTGGGCAGGGAAACGCACTGCTACAACTCTCTAATGATCGACAGCTCAGTGTGGTAGGGCCTGTCAATCATAAGGTAGATATGCCTTCAAGCATACTCTTAATGGGACCATATTTTACAAACAAAACATCATGCTGTGTTTAAGAAGACTTCAAGACCATTAACTCTTTATGATAATGTTTAATGAGGTAATAAATCAAGTGAGGCATTTACTCATAGACCTCTATTCAATCAGCCCACCAAAGGGGAAAATGCAAGTCCTTCGCATTTGCTTTTTTTTGGCTTCGTCCACTTCTTTCATAGAGCATGTGACAGTAGGAAAAGCACAGGAGTAAATGATGTTAATGTGTTAATGTGTTTAGTAACACCTGTGCTAGCATTTCCTATCATGATAAGTAAAAATGGTGTGTGTGTGTGTTGGTGTAACTGTGTTCTGGAGGTGAAACTCATTGCTTTATCAGACTGAATAAAGCCATATTCTCTCAAATGCATCTTATATTTATCTTAATCCCCTTTTTAGAGGAAAATAAGAAAAGTAAAATCAAGATGCACCAAACATTCTTAACCATCCTAATCTGGTCCTAACCAGAAGTGATGAATCGTGAATCCTACTTGATCCTAAATTGGAGGCGTGTGGCAGATTGTTTATTATTAGAAAAGGAACGCAACCAAAACACGCCCAAGTATTAGAGAGGTGCCACACAAAGACTGTAGGAGGAAGAACAAGTGAACATGTGATTCTGTGTCATACTGGCAATAAAGGAACATCAGAAAGCTTAAGCCTTCATATGCAAACAATATCATCCTCCTGTGGTTCATTTGGATGAATGGACAAATAGTATCTCTTTTAACAATACAGTCATTTTAATTACTGAAAACATTTAAGATTTATATTAGAATTATTTTTCACGTTGGACAAACCAGTGGTGAACTGTGAACATGCCATGTTTTTCTCTTATCTCAGTAAGAGTACTCCTAAAATGTTCTCTTAACAACAATACAAAATATAAAACATGGTGAATCCAAGGAATCATTCGGTACTAACAAAATCAGAACAAATTGTTGATATGAAAACAAATAAGAGGACATTTACTGTATGGTAGTGTTTTTGTCCAACCTGCAACATCAAAGTGTTTAAAATGTTCTTATAGCTCTGATTTCAGCCTTCTCCATGGCAACAGCTACCAAGGCTCATGGGAACTGTAGTAAGGAGAGCCAAACACTGTGAGAAACTGATCAAAAAAATAGAGCTGATATAATTTAAATGTATAAGCATAACATAAGCATTATTAGACTCATGTTTTTTATGTTGCAAATTAGTAGATTATTTAAAGAAAAAATATAAAGGGGGATTTACAGTCATATCAGTTGCATTATGGGAAGTGTAGGATCTAGTGTTTCTTTTGTTTAGCTTGACCCAACCGTGGTACTGAAGGTAATCTGTCCCTCAGTAGTCTCCCACATTATGGAAGTGTGAAGCTAAATCAACAGAGTTCCTATTTATAAAAATGTCATGTCTTTACCATCGTGTCTTGTTATTTCTCGTCCTCGATTCTTCTCTGTCCTGCTGTCCATCCCACCCAGAAAAACTCACTGTGTGTGTGTGTGTGTGTGTGTGTGTGTGTGTGTGTGTGTGTGTGTGTGTGTGTGTGTGTGTGTGTGTGTGTGTGTGTGTGTGTGTGTGTGTGTGTGTGTGTGTGTGTGTGTGTGTGTGTGTGTGTGTGTGTGTGTGTGTGTGTGTGTGTGTGTGTGTGTGTGTGTGTGTGTGTGTGTGTGTGTGTGTGTGTGTGTGTGTGTGTGTGTGTGTGTGTTGTGTGTGTGTGTGTGTGTGTGTGTGGTGTGTGTGTGTGTGTGTGTGTGTGTGTGTGGTGTGTGTGTGTGTGTGTGTGTGTGTGTGTGTGTGTGTGTGTGAACATAGGGGGCTACTGTGTCCCTCAGGCGACTAGAATGTAGGCCAGTGTCTGTGTCCTGCACACACAGAATGTGTGTGTGAAAGTGTGTTACCCATTAATCCTGATGTGTCCTCTGCTGTCCCCCCTCCTCAGGGCGGTGGGTAAGACCTGTCTGCTGATCAGCTACACCACCAATGCCTTCCCCGGAGAATACATCCCCACCGTGTGAGTAACAGTGGGCATTTGTCATCCCTGCCATAGTGTTTATACTATGGCAGCTATTGATAATGAATAGATCATTCAATTCAAGAACTTTATTGTCATTGAGGCACAACAACATTTATTTTGTCCTGGTCCCGTAGGTGCAAATGATAAAATAACAAATACAACAAAAAATAAAGGAAACAATCCTTAAAAGCTAGTAATAAAGAGGCTTAAAAAGCTCAAATAACTATACTAAACATGATCGAGCACAATATGTACAGATGTGGATTGCACATGAAAAGGCACTATATTGCACATAGTAATAAGAGCTTATTGTCCTATATATATATATATAAAAATAAATATACCAAACTGTGGAGATATTAGAGTAGAGCAGGTTCACGGCAGTTTTAGGCAATATTACGGATCAATGACCAGACATAAGATTTCTGCATCAATCATTTGGTTGTTTAAAAAATCTGCTTCAAAATGTTTTAGGAATGAGTCCTAAACCCAGAAAGGAGTTTGCATTTTAGCACTTCCTGTCTCAAAGTGAATGTTTTTATGAATTAGTTTTTGCTAAGATATCTGAAATAAGGTCTGTGGTTAACACACGCTTACGAGATTTTCAATTACTCTTATGCTTTTACATGCTACTGCCATTCTTAAGACACGCACCTAAATGAACGACTAAACTCCTAAACGTCATCCAAGGATCATTAGCCGCCTTTA